CATATTATATATGATAAATATATTAACTTTAATTATAATCATTTTAAAAGTCATAATAATAGTATTTTTTATTATTAATTGTCAGTGTAACTTTTGTTTAATACTAACTTTACTTAAAGTTAAACCCTAAAAATATTTCATGGTCAAAGTGGAAGGCATGCATGTTATCCCCAAAATGGTGATTACATGGGAATCAATTCTCTATTTCGGCTAGCAAATGGGAACAAGAAGCATAAGAGTTTCATATTTGCGTTCCCATGGCAATTCTTAATTGGGGTCACAAAAAATATAACATTGCTCTATTGATCGTACCACACACATATCCATCGATGGGAACGTACTACGTAGTCTCTTACATAATATAAAGTCGTAGGTAGATAGGCACACTGATTTTGACCCTTGTTACCCTACATGTCCCATGTGACAGAAGATGGAACAAGAAACATAGCACTGGTTCTAATTCAAAAGTGCAACCAAATTGGAATTTTGATTCTCTGCCACGTGTAGTAATTAATAATATATGTTATATATTAGCTGGTTTTGGGGTTGGGCTTTTTCTAAAGCATAAAGTATGTGTATCTGAAAAAGAAGAATGGATAAGGTTACTGTTCGTCCTACGTCTTCAAATATATTTTGAATTCTTTTGAAAGTTAATACACGGTTGACCAAATCTTTTTCATGAGAAATGAATAATGCAATTAATCATCCATGTTCTCGATGTTATACCTTAAAATAATACTTAATAATCTATTTAAACAACGTAAACTTTTATACTATTTTCTATTAGTTTTATTATATATATAGTTCAGATAGCACGATTAAGAAAGTATCACGGCAGGAAAAGAGGTTTTCTTATAGTATCATTTGTAACTAAAGATACATATATGTCAGATATTTTCATGTCACCTCTCTACGCAAATATGTAAGCTATCATTAATCAAATTAGTGGTTATATTAGTTTTAGACGTCATAAAAGATTATTTATTGTAATAAAAATTTTGTCACCATAGTACTTAGATACAATGATAAAATCATTTTGTCACAAATATAGAGATTTTTGACTTATCTTTTCAAGTATCTATTCAATTATTCTTTTCACAATAAATTTCTCCAAGCTTAACAATTAAATATTCTTTTCTAGATAAACTTTTCAAGCTAAACCAAGTATTATTTTACTTATAAGCTTTTCCAGGCTCAACCAAGTATTGTTTTACAACAAGTCTCTCCAGGTTCAACTATGTATTATTTTTAAAGCAAGGCTCTCCAGACTCAACCTTATAATAATGATTATAAAGGTTACAAAGATGTTATTTTGTCTTATTTAGACATTATACAACCAATATATATAGTATAATAAGCTTTTTACAAGAAAGAATGAAGTGTATACACAAGTATAATTTATAGAGTGTGTTTGTTTGTATATATATGTCTTGTTGAATTTCAGACCTTCATGTATTGTGACTTTGGAGAAGATGACCATTGCAATACTTTGAGTCTAATTCACAAGTTTGCTTTGTCTATCTTCGACATCTTTTCTTGTGATGAGAGGTAATCATTGACTCATTTAATGCAAACATTAAATGAATTTCACCTAATGATATCTCTTATCTAATCAATAAAGATACTTATTATCTTTCCATATCAAATAGAGCTTGTAGAAACAATGTCAGCGCAAAGTAGCAACAACAACACGTTTATCTACTTTTCTCCATGATTTTAAGGATGTTCATCATTGGCTCTAACGAAAAGCATGATTATGTTTTCTTTAACAAATTTGCGAATTCTAAGATAACTTTTTAGTTCAATCTGTTAAGAAATAAAATATTCAAATGAATTTTGACATTAATCTCAATAAATAATTTACATTAATTTTTTTTATTATTTTAAATTCTAAATTTGAATAATAATAGAGTAAATTAATTTTTTATCACAAATTTTTTTAAAAAGACACTCACACGCATATTTAAAAATAAATTAATTTGTTGACTTATTTAAAATTAATTTTATTAATTTATTTAACATTATTATATAAAATAAGCTTTTAAACAAGCTAATAGATCAAAACAAACTTTCGAAAATGACCAAACTGATCCTAGTAAAAAAGTCTTTGATAGGACAAATTACTTAAACTCTAATTTTATAGACAAACCAACATATATATTCAAAATTTGATATAACATTTTCTCATTCATAATAATAATAACAATAAGTGATTCATGAAAATTATAATAATAATAATAATAATAATAATATTATTATTATTATTATTATTGTTATTATTATTATTATTTTATAGAAAAATATTTATAATTAAATATTAGTGTCAATCATTAATTATTTTTTTTCTATAATTTATTAACTAAACAATAATAATGATTGTATATAGATGAATTGTATACGCAAACAACACCTTAACCAACTTCTTGTTCAAATGTTGAAATTCAATATAATGATAGATCTTCAGTTTTATTGAATTCAATTGCATTAAATTAGTATTTAATGAGACATTCATCTGCAAGTTTCACGTGTTCATGTTATTTAATTATAAAAAATCTAGTATTTTATTGCAAAGTTAAATATTTATTACATAAATAAAATTTATATATATTATATACAGATAAATACTATATATATATTTTGTAATGTAAAAGTTTCTAAAAATAAATAATATATTTAAACATATAAGTTATATTATATTAAAATTTATATAAATAAATATTTTTTTAATGTATAAATCATATTTTATATTTATGATAAATGATTTATATTATAAAAAATATTATTTTTAATTATTGATAATTTATTTTAAAAATATTAAAATTTAATTAAAATAAATATAAATTAAATAAATTAAAATTTAAAAATTACTAAAAATCTTATCATTTTAAAAATCACCTAAAAATACTTTGATTAAAGAGAAATTATTATCTTATAATAGTAGAATAGTATATTTGAGCCTAATTTAAGGGTTGCATTCTACTTATATACTAATAAGTGATTGCCTAATCTGATGTGTGACTTGATTTTTTCCTAATACATTCCTCACGTCCAATATTATTGGGCTTAATACGTGGATAAATGGTAGGTGATCCCTTTTAATGATTTATAATAGATGACCATTTTTTAAGGATCTATGATTGATCTGATACCATCTTAAAATAATGAATTTGAATTTAACTCAATCCTACAAAATCAGTTTGTAAATTGAGGATTGTTCTCTACATATACATTCTTTAATTGTCTTATCTATAATTGATGTGAGACTTGAATTTTTTTCAATAAAAATGTTCTTATTGAAAATAGTTACTCATTTATATATACAAAATTTACTTTTCAAAAAATTGTAAACTGTTTACTTAATTTAAATAATAATTTAGACAAACACGCTTAAAAATGAAATAGGATTATGTGCTATAATACAAGATGTGATAAATCAGTGCCGGATCTATGTATAGGAGAGTGGGAGCACTTGCTCCCACTACCATTTTACATACATATTTTTTTTATAAAAAAATAATATATTTTAAAAATAAATATTATATTCTAATATATATATATATATATATAACTTATTATATGTATAAAATATAAATTTAAAAGAGTTGTTCATTTATTTGATATTTATCAAACTTTTGAAGGAGATTAGTTCTCATATGTGATAAAGAATA